CCACTGGCTACTGTTGCAGAAGCGCAGGGGAGAAACTGGAGATCCAGGGGACTTTATGGATGGTTCTTTGTTGTCATATGCCATGCACATCACAGCCAGGTGGCTCTGCTTTATACTTGCTCATTCTGTAGCCCAACTTTGAATGTGCTATTATTCTTGTCCGGGAACTCTAAATGCCCGTGTCTGCACTGGCCATCTGCCTTTGACTGGATGCTGCACCTGGGGCCATGGGATCTCTCCCAGGCAGAGACCTAAGGGGGCTGCTCGCTTTGACCTTGGTCAGCGATGGTAGCAGGGATGCAGATGATAAGAAGGGGGATGAGGTTAGGGTTGGAGGAGGGAATGGGATGGGGACAGAAAGGAGGACTGAGCTGCGCATGGGGGTGGAGATGGAGTGGAGATAGGGATGGGGAAGGGAATGGACATGGGGAAAGGGCTGGAAAAGGGGATGGGGATGGAGGTAGAGAAAGAGGATGGAGGTGGGAATGGAGGTGGAAATAGGACTGGAAAAGGAGGTGGAGAAGGAGGTGGGGACTGGGACGTGGTTGGGGAAGACTAAGAGTGAAGGAAGGATCTAGACCGCGAGCCTAAGAAGCAGCAGTTTGTGGGGGAAAGAGTAGTCAAGGCAAGGGAAGGAGGGAGGAAGGGGGAGAGGATGGTAGTGACGTGTGGAGTGAAGCCTCCCTTTGCATCCAAGGACTCCTGGATGTAGACAGCTCCCTGACTGCCTGCACTCGGAGCCCTCTGCTGGGAGACAGGGGGCCAGATGCAGAGTGACATTTTCCTAGGACGCAACGACTGAGGAATCTGTTGATGGGGAGTGTGAGAAGCCTGGGCTGTCCACACTGATATTAGCAGCTCTGCTGTGCCGTTGTCCACACAACTGAAATCCGTGATTGTCTTATGAGCTTGATTAACTGTACATATTGCTAACACCTGCGCAGAAATATAACGAGGGACAGGAACACAGCTTCCAATCAGGGTCTGTGTGGATGGTGTGCGTGACTTGGGTGCAGATCTCCAGAGTGGCGATGGCTACAGGCGTGACTGTGTGTGTGTGTGTGTTGCAGGAAGGAACACCAATGCTATGCAAAGAAACCTGGTGTGGATTTAGAAGGCCTGGTGCCAGTCTTGGCACTGCCACTGACTTATGGTGTGAATCTAGGCAAAGGTCTACCTCTCTCTGCCCTCAGTGTGCTTACCTATAAAACAGAAGGTCTAGACCGGCACTCTCCTATTGAAATATAATTCGAGTCATATATTTAATTGTAATGTTACCGAGTCCAAGGTCACACCGCTCACTGCATGGCAGGCCAATAAGTCAAGGGACAAGCTGTTGGGACAAGGAATAGTGACTTTATTCAGAAAGCCAGCAGACCAAGAAGAAGGTGGACTAGTGTCCCACAGAACCATCTTGCCTGAGCTAGACTTCAGGCTCCCTTTGTACTAAAAGGAGTGGGAGTAAGGTCAAGTATTTCCTGGTTCCAGTCAGCCTCTAGAGGGGATGTGCTAATTTCTTCCTTCCTGCAGTCATTCACAGGAGCGCCTGGTCAGGAGGTAGCCTGCGAGCTAAACAAAGGTGTTTCAGCTTAACACTCATTATCTGGGAGGCAGGGTTCTCAGAGATGAACCATTATGTATAATTTAAGCTTGTAGGCAACATCCATTTAGTAATTAACTTGTAGCAAAAGCAACAGAATACAAAGGTTTAAGTAGAAGAAACAGATCCAATGTGGAATCAGATTTGTTCTTCCTTGTTACAGTAAGTTTTCTAAGGACCGCATTAAGAAACAGTTTTAAAAAGGTGAAATGGATTTGAATAATATATTTATTAAACCCATTATATCCCATGTATTATTTCAGTAACTAACCAATATAAAAATACTAGTGATATATTTCACATTCTTTTAAAAAAATTCTCCTCCAGATTCAGTGTGTATTATGTACTTACAGTGCATATGAACTCAAAACAGCCACATTTCAAGTGTTTCATAGCCACGTGGATGAGTGGCTACCATATTGGACAGTGCAGGCTCAGAGCGTTTTCTGGTCTCCTCACTAAACTGTGAATGCCCCAAAGGCAGAGACAATGTCTTATTCTCCTAGACAGTAGCAAGGAGGCTCAAAGAAAGAATGTTAGTAAATAATACTGCCGGTAAATGCATCCCACTTATATTGGGTCCATTTTCATAACATTTTCAGGTACTACTTCATTGAATCCTCACAGATCCCTATGATTCCATTTTGCAGATAAGGAAACTGAGGTTCAGAGAAGCTAAATAGCTTGCCTGGGGTCGCACAGGCAGCAGGTGGTAGAGCTGGTCTTTAAACTCCGGGTGGTGTGATTTAGAGCCCACACTCTAACCATTGTCCTATGCTACCTTCCTTATAATAGCAGTGCAAATAATATTCACTAAAATTGCTGAACTGTGTTGCAGACTTACTATGTGGCAGGCATCTTGTGTCATCTCACTTACTCCTCAAAGCCATCCTATTAGGAATATTCTGGGTGTCTAATTCCTATTTGCTCAATGAAAGGAAGAGAGAAGGAATGAGTGATTTTAAAGGTGCCCCCTGCCTAGTTGAGAGCCTCTAAGATTCAGGGGGATGTACTTAACCCTACACATAAGCCACTGTGAGCGGTGCCAAAGAAGTGTGCCAAGCTCTAATCGGCATGGTCCCTTGATCTTTGAAGCGACTGAGTTAATTACTAGAGCCCCCCACAGAAGCATTTCCAGAGGGATCTGGATAAGAAAGTGTCACTGGGAGCTGAGATTTAAATGAGTGTTCCCGGGGGCTAAAATGTGTGCTTAGGGCTACAGGGGCCAATAGGTACGAACTCCTTTCTTCTCTCCAAAGATGGAGGTGATGCAGCTTCACGTCGGAGTTTGAACCTGGAGTCAGGGTGCTCGGGTTCAAATCTGGACTCCGTGAACCCCAGGCGAGTCCCTTCCCCTCTCAAGTTTCCCCATCTATACAGTGGGAATAAATAAACCCTTCTCAAAAACGAATGGTGAGGATGAAATGAATGAACACACGTGAAGGGCTTAGAACAGCTCCTGGCTGCTAAGTGTTAGCCCATGTGGATTCTTGCTCTAGGATCCAGGTTTTCAGCGAGTTCTAGGAACGTTAGATCGCAAAATCTGCGACTTGGGGGTAATTGAAGTGTTTTGGTGAATGTTTCCCCTCTCGGAAATCCTACCCACTTTGCCATCTGTTTCCTACCATCTCACGCTTAATTACAATCCTCCATCTATTGTTCTTCCCATCGTTCCCTGTTTGTTCTGCTTCCCTTGCGGCAGCACGTGGCAGCTGCCGGAATGAATGAGTGGCCCGTACCTGGCTTGGTTTCACTAGACCTTAAAATAGAGTTGCCAGGCGTCTGTCGCCCCTGCCAGACTGTGCGCTTCCCCGCGCAGTATCCATCCGTTTCATCACTGGGTGCCTACGGCGAGCACCTGGCACCATGCCCGGCACCTAGTAGGTGTCAGGAAATGTTTGTTGAATTTAATTAACCTTAACTGGAGTGAAAACTCCTTTCAGGAAGGAAAAGCCCACTCCTCTTCATTTTCTCTGCATCCCGCACCGTGCATGACCCAAGGCCACAGAAGCCAGAACCCGACAAGCTTTCTTTCCCAAGTAAGGTTCTAAGAGTCTGGCTCCTGTCCTGCTGACAACAAGACGGTTGGGGAAATAATAGCAGAGATCATAAGAAGAGCAGATTCCTGCCATGTGACACACCCTTTCATATTAACCAGCTGGTTCATCTTTCAACTATGTCTGCCAAGGATTAGTCCCATTTAACAGACTAGGAGACTGAGGCTCACTGTTTTGGTAACCAACCCAAGGACATGGAAGTGGGGGTGACCTCGCTGGGATTTGGACCCAGGAGTGTCCAATGGCTCCATGTGTGACCTCTCAATACCCCACGGAGCTGGCTTTGGCAAACCAGCCAGTACGGGGGCCGGTCAGGAGACCAGTGAGGGAAGCTGGTGGGAGGCGGGACCAAACAAAATAAGCCAACTTTGGGGGAGAAAAAGAGAAACAGGGAAGACTCCTGGCTCTGAATGGCTCCCAGAGTCAGCCACTTCTCTCATTCCACACTCATCGTGGTCTAAGCTACCAATCTCTCTGACATAAATTCACACTCTGTGTTTCCAGTCTCTGAAATGCAGCTCAGATCAAGTCACTGCACTTGCTTTAAGCCTTCAGTGGCTCCCCACTGCTCTCAGGACAAAGAAGAAAAACTCACAGCCAGCGGTGGGCTGGTAAAGCTGCTCTCTGGGGTCTGGGGCAGAGGAAGGAAACAAACGAATAAGCCCGGATTTGCAGTGGTGGCTGATTTCGGTGGTGTGAAGATGCCCACTGTGGCCTGTTTCAAGCTAGCTGCAGTTTAACAACTGGCTTACAAAATTCCCAGAAATGTTACAATCATTCTCATGAGCTGGTATGAACCAGCCCCAGCACACGTGGGGACCCACTGTCAGCCACCCGTTCTTGTGCCCTGCACATCTTCCCAGCCCCACCGGGTACCCCCTCCTTGCCCTCCCGCCACAATCGTCTACTTCCCATCCTCCTGCCCTAAGTCAGCCCGTCATGAGGGCTTTGCACAGGCTGTTCCCTCCACCTGCCACACTTGTCCTCTGCCTACTGTTGCTTCCTCAGGTCACAGCCCAGGGTCACTCCCTCAGGCTTGGACAAGTCCCTTTACACTCTGCTACACCTCCTGGTAGCAGATGCACTTAACACAGTCAACCATGCAATCTCTCAACCCATGATCGTCTTCCCCTTTGTGCTGTAAGCCCCAAGAGGCAAAGCCCTTGTCTGGACGCCCAGCAGGGACATCATTCTCCTTGTCCAGTGACCACTCCTGGAATCATGCAACATTTGTCCCCCACCTCAGCACCTGACATGGGACCTGGCCCGTGGTAGGTAATCAGTGAAGTCTTTCAGAACCTTCCAGTTAAGCCTTTGTCTTCCTGTGCTTCCCTTTGGGGTAGCTCCTCCCACCTCCATCGAAGTGGTGGCCGCTGACACACCAGCCCCCTTCAGCCGCTACCAAGCGCAGAACTTCACGCTGGTCTGCATCGTGTCCGGAGGGAAACCAGCGCCCATGGTGAGTGCCCCCGAGTGGTCCCTCCTCGTCCCTGCCAGGCCACCCTCCTTTGTGGCTTGGCCAGCTGCCTGTGTCATTGCGGTGGTCACTCTGCAGAGTGAAGGCGAGAGGCACGGTCCGCATAAGTGAACTCTGCCCCATCTGCCGTGGTCTGACCACGTCCACTCATCTGACCTGTGCACGCATGCCTGTGTCTCTTGCTCCCAGTCCCCCAGTGCTGAGAACCCCCCCTTCTCCTGGACCCTGGAGTCCTACAACTGCACAGGGGGGTGGGCTTCAAGGGGACCCTGCATCGAGCACACTTCTATCCCAGTTACGGAACAGACTGGAGACCAACGAGGCCTGGGAAGGGAAGGGACGTGGAGAGTCACCCACTCTGTTCTTGACAGACCTGGGACTCAGGTCATGTCTTCCAGCTCTCATTCCACTTCCTTCCACTGGAAGGAAGGAAGGAGAGAAAGAAGGGAGGAAGGAAGGGAAAAAGGATGGGAGAGAGGGAAGAGGGACCATGCCTCTTTTGGCCAACTCCTTATTAGACCCACCCTTATCCTTAACCTCACACCTTTAAGCTCTGGGATCTGTTATGGCCAGCTCATGAATCATTGTCATGGCTGCTTCAAGGGGCGGGGGGTAGGATGTGAGAACATATGGAGAGCTGGATTCTAACCCCTAACGTCACATGTGCTGAATGACCTTGAGCAGGACCATCTCCCTGCTTCTTCTTGGGTTCAATAAAGAGCTTTGTGGTGTGGACAGTGTTACTGTTTTCCCACTTTCTGCAAAGCATCAGGACCTGTTTGGTCTAAATGAGATACACGGAAGCCCCAGGTGTAAAACATTTAAAAAGGAAGGAAGGGCACATTGCCCTAACTGATCCCTGAGGCACCGCTTGGAACCCTTAGGGTTCCCTGAACCAGTATTGAGAACCTATGGGCTACGTGCTCTGAAAGGCCCTTCCAATTTGACCTCGTATGAGACTGTGAATCTGGTCTCTGTGAGTTTCATACATCACTAGGATTAGTGAGCAGTGGAGCTGGAGCCATGGGCAGGGGGGATTAGAGTGCAAGGTGGAGGGGCAAGGGCTCTCCTCTTCCAGACCCTGACGGTCTAACAGACACGGTCCAGTGGGGTGACCTTGGGACCTGGGTCGTCCTCACCCCAGGATCTAGGCCTCGGGAGACCTAGCCGCCCAGGACAGGGCCAAGCAGAGCCAAGACAGAGCACCGAGCAGGCAGGCAGAGCGCGGGTGGGTAGCACCAGGGATGCAGAGGCAGGCCTTCGATGGGGCTCCTTCCCTCCACCTCCACCTCACAGTCCCGAGGAGACAGACCACAAAGCAGCTTCAAGGGCAGCAATGGCTGAGAGCAGAACATGGTCCCCAGATTTTCCCTTTGGAGCCCGTAAGTAGCTCTGACCTCCCTCAAATCAGACAAGCTGGTCTTTTTCCCCCGAGAAAAACTCCTTTTCTGGAGGGCACAAAGGAAGACACAGCTCTGAGGCTGCAGGAAGACCCCCACCCCACAGAGCTCCCCGCTGCCCAGCCTGCCTGCTCCCGCCACTTAAGACAGGAAATACAATATTCCAATAACTTATATGTAAAAGACATATATATATAAAAGGTCCTCATCTCCCCACGTTTCAGGCAACTTACGTTTGCCTGGGACGTCAGAACTTGAAAGAATTCTTTGATATAAATTACAAACCTGCTTTTGAAGTACTTTTCAAAAAAAAAAAAAAAGAAAGAAAAAGAAAACCCCAAAGCAGGCTATTATGTGCATAAGAGATTCTTCGTTGGAGCTACAAACTCTGACAGATCCGGCACATCCTGCATTTAATTCACCCACCCCCCACCCTGTGTCTGCCTTCCCCCACATCCTCTGTCTCCCTTTCCCCACCGGCACCAGCACCCCCAGAGATGCTTCCTGGCCTCCTCTCTCCCCGTCTCCCATCGATTTATTTATCTGATTTATTAAAAAATACACCCAAACCCCACGGGCCTCTGGGCGTATGTACCAAAATAAAAAGACAGCAAATTAAATTAAATGCCGCCTCTCAAAACTCGAATTCCCCATTAGCAGAGAAAGCGAGAAGACACTGGCTTTCGCCTCATCCCACACCTAGCTCCCTCCCACACATGCACCTGCTTCCTGCCTTCTGGCTCCAAAACATCTAAGATGTGTACACACACAGCGCTCCTCTCCTCCTCCTCCTTCTGGCATCTCCAGTGCCCCTCTCACCTGCCTGCTTTCCCCAGATGGGCACAGACCAGCCCCTGGGAGCCCAGGTGGCTGCTAGGGCTGTGTCCAGGGTCCTTTCTCTGCACACTGTTTCTAAGCATCCAAGCCTCATGGTGTAGGTGTTCTTATTCCCCTTTACAAGTGAGGAAACGGAGGGGCAAAGAGGCTCACTGGCTCATAAGTGATGGAGGTTGGCTCAGGTGTCTCTGCTGAAGAGAGCTGACTCACAGTGCTCGGGGTGCTGGAGGGAAAGGGTCAGAGAGGGGTTCATCTGGAAGGCCACCAGGAGGAGGCTCCTCAAGGACTGGCCTCTTGTGGCCAGTTCCTCTGAGAGCCCACTGGGAGGTCCAGGTCATTGGCACAAAATCTTTTCCCACACCCTCCTTGCAATTTCAGGTTTATTTCAAACGAGATGGGGAACCAATCGATGCAGTGCCCCTGTCAGAGCCGCCGGCTGCTAGCTCTGGCCCCCTCCAGGACAGCAGGCCCTTCCGCAGCCTCCTGCACCGTGACCTGGACGACACCAAGATGCAGAGGTCACTGTCCCTGCTGGACGCTGAGAACCGTGGTGGGCATCCCTACACAGAGCGCCCCTCCCGGGGTCTGACCCCGGATCCCAGCATCCTTCTCCAACCAACCACCGAGAACATCCCAGAGACGGTGGTGAGCCGCGAGTTCCCCCGCTGGGTCCACAGCTCCGAGCCCATCTACTTCCTGCGCCACAGCCACACCCCAGGCAGTGATGGCACCGTGGAGGTGCGCGCTCTGCTCACCTGGACGCTCAACCCACAGATCGACAACGAGGCCCTCTTCAGCTGTGAGGTCAAGCACCCAGCGCTGTCGATGCCCATGCAGGCAGAGGTCACGCTGGGTGAGGCTTGGTGGAAGCCACTCTGCAGGCCTCCTGCAGAGCAGGGTGGTGGGGAGCCTTGGAATAGGGCCGGCTGCTGGCCACCGTGGAGACGGGTGGGAGATGGAGCGAGCCAGGGTCAGGGTCAGGCACGGAGGTCGGAGTCGGAGTACGGAGATTTGCCGAGCTGGGTTGGAGGACGTGGGAGGGTATAGGGAGGTCAGAGGAATTTGGTCCAGCAGGATCAAGAATTCGAAGTCATAGAAGTTTGCTAGATCGGTGTCAGAAATACAGGAGGTTTTCAAGATTGAAAACACGAGTCATAGGGAAGTATGCTTGGTGAGCGAAGAACACGTAAGAATTGGGACTCTTAAGGGAGGGTGGCTGAGTCAGGTCAGGGCAAGGCCAGGGAACGCTGGGGACATGGGAGGTGACCAGGATGTTTTCTCCATTGAATAAGAGGCCCGTGAGCTTACCAGGTAAGGATCGTGAACATGGCAGGTCGGAGCTCGCCGGTTAAAGGTCAGGAGTCCTGAAGGTTACAGGGAGCTTTACTGGATTGGGGGAGGGAACATATAGGGTGTGGAGGGTACCGCTGTGGCTTACATTTTTAAGTATAATGGAAAGTACCCTGTCATCTGCGGGAATGTGGGACATGGGCACAACGAGGAGGCTGGAGGCTCAGGGCCAGCTCAGCCAGAGAATCCAATCCCCGGCTGGGACCTGGTTCCTTCTCCCACAGACCACCAACTCTCGGTGTCCCCAGAGCAATTCCCTAAGATCTGGTTTGTTCCCCCTTGTACATCTCCTCCCAGCTGAGAAGAGGGAGGGAGCACGGATGTGTGGAATCTTCTCTACCAGAAATAGGAGACTCTTTGAGCCAGGGTTTGTGCTGACTGGGAGGGGAAGGGGTGTAAAGCAGGGAGATGGACACCCTGACCCTGTACTGGTCCCCTCTGCCACAACGCCCTGGGCCTCAGTCTGCAGCACCCAGCAGTTCATCCCTGGGCTTGTCCTTTGCGTCTCCTGCAGTGATGACAGTCTACACAGAAGTATCCACAGCCCCTAATGTAGGATCCTCATGACCAAGGACAGATAACAGTGACTGACGGCGCTGAGGGTTGGGACCGCAGCCTGTGTCAGGGAGGTCCAAAGGGCGTCTCTCTTTTTAGCCGGTCTACCAAAAATCCAGCACCAACTTGACACCAAACACCAAGAGGAAGGATGTCCTGTACATGTAACACCTCCCATGAATCAGCAACATGTGCAAGGATTCTCTCATTCATTCCGCACAAGTAGGAGTTTACTAGGCAATCCCATTTTACAGATGAGCAAAAGTGAGGCTGTTTGGTGGAGTCCCTTTCCTTGAGTCACCAACTTAAAACTAGAAGATCTGAAATTTCCAGCCAGATCTATTGGCTGAAAACCCTCTCC